GTCTGTCCAGTCTTCCCCGCTCACCCCTTCATGGGGTCTTACCTAGAATCATTCATTCATTCACTCACTACTGGGTCAAGGGAGGAGCAAGAGATGTGAGTAGGGAAATCAACAAAGTTTCTCATGTCAAATACTGCAAGAAGTTCATCAAAGTCCCTCTGTATAAGGTGTTCGCTGAGGTCAACAACAATTATGATATTTTGACAGTTGTGTTGTAGCAGAAGGGAGTCAATATTTTCCATTAGGAAGTTGATGGGGTCTGCATGTTGCTGCTTCGTCTCTCTCTCTCTCTCTCTCTCTCTCTCTCTCTCTCTCTCTCTCTCTCCTCTCTCTCTCTCTCTCTCTCTCTCTCTCTCTCTCTCTCTCCATCTTTCTTTTCTCTATCTCCTTTTCCTTCTACCTCTCCCTTCTCTCTCCCTCATTCCCCTCTCCCTTTTCTCTTCCTCCCCCTTCTCCCATTTCCCCAGTTCCCTCTCTTTTCCTTCCTCCCTTCCACCCCTTTTCCCTCTAGTCCTCTTCCCATTCTTTCTCCACCCCTCTATCACTCTCCCTGCCCCATGTGCGTCTTGTTTACTGCTACGGTGAGTAATTGATCACAGATGCTGTACGAGTATGCGACGTGGTCAAGTGACCACCGCTCCTTGCACTGTTGCAGAGTGTATTTTAATAAGAGACAGTGCATCTCTTACTTTAGCAGGACAATTAAGGAAAATCCTGCTCCCTCTTTATTACCATAGTAAAGATAGTGGACATTGTTGAGAATTTGGCCTTACCTGCTATGTTTATTATATATCTATATAATGAACACTTAGCTGATAAATGACAGCAAATCGTCTACACAGCCGCCCCTGCAGACGAGGTCTAGAAGCTGTCGAAACCATCACAACAGTGGGCTGTCAAGAGATACAATTTGTAAGTATAAATTACCCCTAGGGGGTGTTATGTCAGCATATTTCATTCGATGATGGCTGACGAATACTTACTTGTTTGGACTCAAAAGTCCACACCTTACTGCCGATTATAGGTTGATTACAACTCCTTGTGACTCAAGAATTGCGCAATCCCTCGATCTACAAGAAATTCGTAACATACCTTGCTCTTTGTAACGTGAGCTATGGTGTTCTCAACACCTTCGACAGATATCGGTGACTTGATAGAAGCTGAAGTGTCCTTGGATGTCCACGTCTTCCATTGTCTAGGAAACGCACACTGGTACACTATGTTCAACAAGATTTGTCTTTATTGTTCACAATGTATCACAAGAGAAGCTGATCACACTTCTCTAAGTGTTTGTGTTAGAGACACTTTGTTCACACTAACGCACAGATCAGTGTCCTTTGCTGGTTATCCTGGCGTCAGTGTCTCGTAGTAGAGTCAAAGTTAGTCTGCCAGACACTACCGTGCTCCATGCCGTCACTGCCCCCAGCACAAAAAAAAACGCTGACCTAGTACCTTGCATCCTTGTCACCTCCTCGATGAAGCAAAGCAGAATGTTTGTTTCTTGCTGTCTTAATCATAGACAACAATGTACACTAGTTTTACTATGGTAATAAAGTGGGAGCAGGATTTTCCTTAATTGTCCTGCTAAGTAAGAGATGTACTGTCTCTTATAAAAATACACGTTGCAACACCCCTGCAAGGAGCAGAGGTCACTTGATTACGTGGCATAGCATCTGTGATCAATTACTCACTCTAGCAGTAAACAAGACGCTCGCCCCTTCTGAGTGGCCCCTCAGGGCTGAGAGGGCTGAAGGGGGCTGAAGGGGGCTGATACCCCCCTCCTGGAGAAAATTTCTCCACAGACATTGTTGTCCATGCTTAAGACAGCAAGAATCAAACATTCTGCTTTCTTCATCGAGGAAGTGGCAAGGAAGCAAAAGTACTAGGTCAGCTTTTTCTTTGTGCTAGGGGAGTGACGGCATGGGGTGCTGTGGCGTCTTCAGATTACTTTTGACTCTACTGAGAGTGACACTGACGCCAGGATAACCAACAAAGAACAACGATCTGTGCGTTAGTGTGAACGAAGTGTCTCACAAAACACAATAAACACTTGAGAGAAGTGTGATCAACTTCTCTTGTGATACGATTGTGAACAATAAAGACAAATCTTGTGGAACATAGTGTACCAGTGTGCGTTTCCTAGACAATGGAAGACGTGGACATCCAAGGACACTTCAGCTTCTATCAAGTCACCGATACCTGTCGAAGGTGTGAAGAACACCATAGCTCAGGTTACAAGAGCAAGGTATGTTACGAATTTCTTGTAGTACGGGGGACTGCGCAGTACTTGAGTCGCAAGGAGTTTGTAATCAACCTATAGTCGGCAGTAAGGTGTGGACTTTTGAGTCCAAACAAGTATCTGTGATCAATTACTCACTGTAGCAGTAAACAAGATATTTGCCCCTTCTGAGAGGGCTGGGCCCCTCAGGGCTGAAAGGGGCTCAAGGGGCTGAAGGGGGCTGATACCCCCCTCCTGGAGAAAATTTCTCCACACCCCACTTCCCACCTCTCTCCCCATTACAAACCCCACTCCCCACACACAACTACAGCACACAACCCATAACCTCTCCCTGGCCTACTCTCCCCTCTTCCCATCCCTCTTCCACTTACAACTCCCCTACATGCACACCCTCCCTATACTCTCTATCTCTCTCTCTCTTTCCTCTACCTCTCCCTTTTCTCTTCCTCTCCCTCCCTCCCCCTGTTCCCCCATTCCCCTCTCTTTTCCCTTCCTCCTTTCCACCACTTATCCCTCTAGCCCCCTTCCCACCTTTCTCCACCCCTCCATCACTCTCCCTGCCCCACTCCACACCTCTTCCCCCTCACAAACCCTCCACTTCCCCCCCCCCACACACACAACTACAGCACACAACCCATTTAAAAACAGGAAGAAAAGATGGCTCAAAGGAGAACTTGAAGGCCCAAGGGATTAGAGGAGAATGGTTCTTATAAGGAGGAATGGATGGAAGAGCAATGCAAGTGGATGGAACAAGAGTGGGGAAGCAAATCAGGCTAGCTTTCTGCAAAAATGGAGAAATGGATGGAGGCAGAGCTTTCTATGAAATTAGAAAAGAGGTTGGAGGAGGAGAGGAGGAAATACGAGTCACAAGTCGAAGCTGCAGCAGCCAGAATAAGGGCCCTAGAATATTAGGTAAATAGGCTGAAGCGAGTTGCAGAGGTATTGACCAGAGGAGACACAGCATCTGAAGCTGGTGCACCTCTACTGAATGAGGGGCCCAACGGGACAGAAGAAGACATAATTTACGCTAAGGCCCTATCAGCCCACCATGCAGGGCTGAGGAATGAGGAGGAAATAAGCAACTGGGAGCAGGGATGGTGGCAGAGGAAGGAGGTGAAGGTGGAGAGGGCAATAGGTCTTGTGCAAAGGCACGACCATATCACCAAGAGCTATGGGAAAAAATAAGGGAGAAAATGGCCATGTACAAACAGGAACCAGAGACAGAGAGAAAGGCAATGGGAAGAGATGAGGGTGAAGTCAGTGTTTCTTCATGGGCTTCATGAGAGCGAGGGAAGGACACACAATGAAAGATGGCAGGAAGGAAGACAGGAGACTGAAAATATCATCAAAGAAATAGGTGAAGAGGACCTGTCTGAGATTGTAAATTTTCAGAGAATAAAGGGGTACTTGAAAGGGAAAATAAATGGCCGGTCAAGATGATTTTCAGGACAGAAACAGTGTGAAACAGGATCCTGCAAGAGAAACCATGGTTGAAGGAATCATAAGCATACAAGAAAGTGTTCCTAGACCGAGACAGAAGAAAAACAGAACAACAGCAGCTGAGGGAGAGGACACAAAAGTGAAAGGAGTTAGGAAGAGAGACTAGGACAGAATCAGCAAAGAGCAACCAGAGCAGGGCAGAACAACAAGAGCAAGCACACACAGAACCACCCCCAGAACCCCACAACCAAACACGCTATCCCAACACAGACCACAATCCACACTTATAACCCTGACCCCACACTACGCTATAGAATCCCACAGCACACTGCCAGGTCCCCCACCCTCACAAACCTCCCCAAAACACAGTGTTGAAGAGGAAACCGAAGGTATGGTACACCTCCTCACATGGCAGACATTGGTCTCGGACACAACTCGAGATAGGGAGCCAAGGCCGCATCATCTCTTGGAAAAGGTCCGGGTAGGGCGATTATAGAACAACAACAACAATGCTTCCTGTACGGCACGTTCTCCACAGCAACACTTGCAGCACACATCACCATTGTATTCACTCTCCCCACCTCCCACCCCCCAGTCTTATGGTGAACAATACAGCCAACACTGAAAATATTTCAAAATTATATGTGTTCTGCTCAATGTAAAGGATGAGGAATGGTGCTTTGATGTAGGTGAATAGATCTTGTTCAGAGGAATAAGAGCGACCCATACTTTCCTAGTATCAAATATGATTACTTCTCATTCTCCATACATTGTATTACCGCTACTAGTTTAGTACTATTCCGTACTACTACTACTATTACTACTACTAATACTACTACTACTACTACTACTACTACTACTACTACTACTACCATCACCACCACTATTACTACTACCACCACTACTACTACTACTACTACTACTAACAACAATAATAATAATAATAATAATAATAATAATAATAATAATAATAATAATAATAATAATAATAATAATAATAATAATAATAATACAGTTTCTGTTATGTCCAAGAGTCTGGGCAGCTAGAGATAAAGGTTAGAATTTAACTATAACTCGGTGTCATGTTGATCTTAGAACTGATGATTATACTTACCTCTAATATAGTGACAAATATGTCATAAACTTATACCACACTGACCTGCAAGAGTATTGTTTGAAACTCCAACAGAATCTTACTTACATCAAACATTGAAGAGTGCCTGTGTGATCTTCATTAAAACCCCACTTACAACAACCGATGCTACTCTGACCAGTAAGAGTGCCGCTGTCAACTCTAGCAAAGCCACACTTACACACTGACCTCAAACATGGAGACAAGTTGAAGAGGAAAGAGGACAGGCAGTATCACATTTCTGAATATCAAGACGCCGAAGATACTGCCAATCAGGCTCATTGTCAGTTGTGTACCATAGAAATAAACCTCTGTAGCGTTACCTGCAAGGAACCAGTAGACAAGTGACATACACCAGTAGACAAGTGCACATACAACAGTAGACAAGTGACATACACTAGTAGACAAGGGCACATACGTCATTTGACACAAATATACAAACTTATGTATATTATTTATCAAATGAAGGTTGAAACTGCAGTTGACGAACACAATAATATAAAGGATATTTTAATCCCGAAATAGACATTAAAAAACATTCAGTGTATTTATGTTAAAAGATAAGCGCCACTTGGAGTATTTATACTGACATTCCTCTCAGTGAATATACCCTGAGAGATTCACCTTTTAGTTTATATTCACTATCATATTCACTTCTCAGAGTATATGCACAGGGATATACACACAAAACATTACGTATAACCAGGAATGCATTTATACTGAGGTATAAATATATTTGAACTAAAAGATGGTTTGAACTAAAAGAGGTTAAGTATGATTTTCTTGTCAAGTTAACAAGTATAAATTATCACACTTATTATTTTATATATGCTGAGAGATACATACCTTATGAAGTATGCAATGAGGTAAGTTTTCTAAGGTTCTTTGGGTAAAAAATTATTAATTTTTACATTAACATAAACGAAGAAATGTCTTTAAACTCATAAGAGAAATTTTTAGAAAGGACTTAATTTTAAATGAGTTCTGCCTAATTGACCAGTTTACCTAATCGGCAAGACATATATCTATATATATATATATATATATATATATATATATATATATATATATATATATATATATATATATATATATATATATATATATATATATATATATATATATATAGGTAGTAGGTTGGTAGACAGCAACCACCCAGGGAAGTACTACCGTCCTGCCAGATGACTGTGAAACAAAAACCTGTAACTGTTTTGCATGATGGTAGGATTGCTGGTTTCTTTTTCTGTCTCATAAACACGCTAAGATAACAGGGATATCTTGCTACTCCTACTTACACTTTGGTCACACTTCACAGACACGCACATGCTATATAATATATACATACATCTAGGTTTTTCTCCTTTTTCTAAATAGCTCTTGTTCTTTTTTATTTCTTCTATTGTCCATGGGGAAGTGGAAAAGAATCTTTCCTCCGTAAGCCATGCGTGTCGTATGAGGCGACTAAAATGCCGGGAGCAATGGGCTAGTAACCCCTTCTCCTGTATACAATTACTAAAAAAGAGAAGAAGAAAAACTTTATAAAACTGGGTTGCTTAAATGTGCGTGGATGTAGTGCGGATGACAAGAAACAGATGATTGCTGATGTTATGAATGAAAAGAAGTTGGATGTCCTGGCCCTAAGCGAAACAAAGCTGAAGGGGGTAGGAGAGTTTCAGTGGGGGGAAATAAATGGGATTAAATCTGGAGTATCTGAGAGAGTTAGAGCAAAGGAAGGGGTAGCAGTAATGTTAAATGATCAGTTATGGAAGGAGAAAAGAGAATATGAATGTGTAAATTCAAGAATTATGTGGATTAAAGTAAAGGTTGGATGCGAGAAGTGGGTCATAATAAGCGTGTATGCACCTGGAGAAGAGAGGAATGCGAGGAGAGAGAGAGATTTTGGGAGATGTTAAGTGAATGTATAGGAGCCTTTGAACCAAGTGAGAGAGTAATTGTGGTAGGGGACTTGAATGCTAAAGTAGGAGAAACTTTTAGAGAGGGTGTGGTAGGTAAGTTTGGGGTGCCAGGTGTAAATGATAATGGGAGCCCTTTGATTGAACTTTGTATAGAAAGGGGTTTAGTTATAGGTAATACATATTTTAAGAAAAAGAGGATAAATAAGTATACACGATATGATGTAGGGCGAAATGACAGTAGTTTGTTGGATTATGTATTGGTAGATAAAAGACTGTTGAGTAGACTTCAGGATTGTACATGTTTATAGAGGGGCCACAGATATATCAGATCACTTTCTAGTTGTAGCTACACTGAGAGTAAAAGGTAGATGGGATACAAGGAGAATAGAAGCATCAGGGAAGAGAGAGGTGAAGGTTTATAAACTAAAAGAGGAGGCAGTTAGGGTAAGATATAAACAGCTATTGGAGGATAGATGGGCTAATGAGAGCATAGGCAATGGGGTCGAAGAGGTATGGGGTAGGTTTAAAAATGTAGTGTTAGAGTGTTCAGCAGAAGTTTGTGGTTACAAGAAAGTGGGTGCAGGAGGGAAGAGGAGCGATTGGTGGGAATGATGATGTAAGAGAGTAGTAAGGGAGAAAAAGTTAGCATATGAGAAGTTTTTACAAAGTAGAAGTGATGCAAGGAGGGAAGAGTATATGGAGAAAAAGAGAGAAGTTAAGAGATGGTGAAGCAATGTAAAAAGAGAGCAAATGAGAGAGTGGGTGAGATGTTATCAACAAATTTTGTTGAAAATAAGAAAAAGTTTTGGAGTGAGATTAACAAGTTAAGAAACCCTAGAGAACAAATGGATTTGTCAGTTAAAAATAGGAGAGGAGAGTTATTAAATGGAGAGTTAGAGGTATTGGGAAGATGGAAGGAATATTTTGAGGAATTGTTAAATGTTGATGAAGATAGGGAAGCTGTGATTTCGTGTATAGGGCAAGGAGGAATAACATCTTGTAGGAGTGAGGAAGAGCCAGTTGTGAGTGTGGGGGAAGTTCGTGAGGCAGTAGGTAAAATGAAAGGGGTAAGGCAGCCGGATTGATGTGTTTAAAGATAGAAATGTTAAAAGCAGGTGGGGATATAGTTTGGAGTGGTTGGTGCAATTATTTAATAAATGTTGGAAGAGGGTAAGGTACCTGGGATTGGCAGAGAGCATGCATAGTTCCTTTGTATAAAGGCAAAGGGGATAAAGAGAGTGCAAAAATTATAGGGGGATAAGTCTGTTGAGTGTACCTGGTAAAGTGTATGGTAGAGTTATAATTGAAAGAATTAAGAGTAAGACGGAGAATAGGATAGCAGATGAACAAGGAGGCTTTAGGAAAGGTAGGGGGTGTGTGGACCAGGTGTTTACAGTGAAACATATAAGTGAACAGTATTTAGATAAGGCTAAAGAGGTCTTTGTGGTATTTATGGATTTGGAAAAGGCGTATGACAGGGTGGATAGGGGGGCAATGTGGCAGATGTTGCAAGTGTATGGTGTAGGAGGTAGGTTACTGAAAGCAGTGAAGAGTTTTTACGAGGATAGTGAGGCTCAAGTTAGAGTATGTAGGAAAGAGGGAAATTTTTTCCCAGTAAAAGTAGGCCCTTAGACAAGGATGTGTGATGTCACCTTGGTTGTTTAATATATTTATAGATGGGGTTGTAAGAGAAGTAAATGCGAGGGTCTTGGCAAGAGGCGTGGAGTTAAAAGATAAAGAATCACACACAAAGTGGGAGTTGTCACAGCTGCTCTTTGCTGATGACACTGTGCTCTTGGGAGATTCTGAAGAGAAGTTGCAGAGATTGGTGGATGAATTTGGTAGGGTGTGCAAAAGAAGAAAATTAAAGGTGAATACAGGAAAGAGTAAGGTTATGAGGATAACAAAAGATTAGGTGATGAAAGATTGAATATCAGATTGGAGGGAGAGAGTATGGAGGAGGTGAACGTATTCCGATATTTGGGAGTGGACGTGTCAGCGGATGGGTCTATGAAAGATGAGGTGAATCATAGAATTGATGAGGGAAAAAGAGTGAGTGGTGCACTTAGGAGTCTGTGGAGACAAAGAACTTGTCCTTGGAGGCAAGAGGGGAATGTATGAGAGTATAGTTTTACCAACGCTCTTATATGGGTGTGAAGCGTGGGTGATGAATGTTGCAGCGAGGAGAAGGCTGGAGGCAGTGGAGATGTCATGTCTGAGGGCAATGTGTGGTGTGAATATAATGCAGAGAATTCGTAGTTTGGAAGTTAGGAGGAGGTGCGGGATTACCAAAACTGTTGTCCAGAGGGCTGAGGAAGGGTTGTTGAGGTGGTTCGGACATGTAGAGAGAATGGAGCGAAACAGAATGACTTCAAGAGTGTATCAGTCTGTAGTGGAAGGAAGGCGGGGTAGGGGTCGGCCTAGGAAGGGTTGGAGGGAGGGGGTAAAGGAGGTTTTGTGTGCGAGGGGCTTGGACTTCCAGCAGGCATGCGTGAGCGTGTTTGATAGGAGTGAATGGAGACATATGGTTTTTAATACTTGACGTGCTGTTGGAGTGTGAGCAAAGTAACATTTATGAAGGGATTCAGGGGAAACCGGCAGGCCGGACTTGAGTCTGGAGATGGGAAGTACAGTGCCTGCACTCTGAAGGAGGGGTGTTAATGTTGCAGTTTAAAAACGTAGTGTAAAGCACCCTTCTGGCAAGACAGTGATGGAGTGAATGATGGTGAAAGTTTTTCTTTTTCGGGCCACCCTGCCTTGGTGGGAATCGGCCGGTGTGATAATAAAAAAAATAAATATATATTATATATATATATATATTTATATATATATATATATATATATATATATATATATATATATATTATATATATATATATATATACCTTCTTCTTCTCTTCATTTCACCTCGTCTTTCATAGACGCATCTGCTGACAAGTTCACTCCCAAATATCTGAACACATTCACTTCCTCTAACATATCTGATATCCAATCTTCCATTACCTAAATATTTTTGTTGTCCTCCTCACCTTGCTCCTTTCTTTTGCTCACTTTTTATTTTCTTCTTGTACATACCCTACCAAACTCGTTCACCAACCTCAGCAGCTTCTCTTCTGAATCTCCCAAAAACACAGAGTCATTAGCAAAAAGCAACTGGGGTAACTCTCATTTTCTGTTAGACTCTTCATCTTTAAATCCCACACCTCTTGCTATCACCCGAACAATCATTTCTCTTACAACCCCATCTATAAAGATACTGAGCAACCATGTTGAAATCATGCATAAAGCCTACTTTTACTGAGAAATAATTTCTCTCTCTCCCTCACTATCCTCATAAAAACTCTTAACTGCTTTCAGTGACCTACGACCTATTCCATATACTTGTGAAATCTTCCACTCCCTTATTC